GCTCGGCAGGGAGCCTGCTTCTCCCTCTGACCCTCCCCCCTCTCATGTGCTCTCTGTCTCTCTCATTCTCTCTGTCTCAGATAAATAAATAAAAAATCTTTAAAAAAAAAAAAAAGGGATTCCATGGAAAAAGCATGTTCGGTTCAGAACTCAAACAGTCAAACAACTGCTTTTCCCGGAAGCAACTGTGTACTTTGGTATGCCACAGAATGCTTTATTTCCCATTTCATTACACAGAACAGTAGATACATATTCAAAGGTCAAGATACAATAAAAATATAAAGGTAATTTTGACTTCTTCACCAAAGTCATTATTAAGTGAGGCTGTCTTTTTGTTTGGTTTAAATTGTGAGTGCATGGAAGTTAAGAATATAACGACCACTAACTAGTACAATTTGGCACCACTACCTTGATTCCTGCTAACATGCCAACAATCCCACCCCCATGGCTTTTGCACCGTGAGTGCAGATGCCAACACACTGAAACAGGCAGATAGTGGGATTCACACTTAGTATGATTCACAAAATAGTTTTGACCTCATAGTCTCCCTGACGGGGTCTGGAGGACTACACTTTGGAGATCTGATGCTTTACTCTACCCAGGGTTGGCTGGATACTCTTGAGATTTCTCAACACCTAGTATCACATGCTATTTTTGTGATAATACTGGTTTCTTTTTGCTTTTATCTTTGCAGGTGTTAATTGTGAAATCAATTTTGATGACTGTGCAAGTAACCCTTGTGTCCACGGAGTCTGTATGGATGGCATTAATCGTTACAGTTGTGTCTGCTCACCGGGATTCACAGGTATACCCTTTTTGTCGGGAGGTCCCAGCCCTGTCACTTTGGGAAAGGGGCATCTAAAGAAAAATCACTTTTCAAATGTTTCCTATTTCTTTATCTCTTGGAAGGTTAGAAGTTTCTTTCTGTACTTCTCTGGCCCAGTTTTCTACTTACAGGCCTTCCCTGAACTGTAACATGAAGCTTTTCATTAGTTAGGGTTTTTAGACCATGTGTTGTGGCTACCTGAAAAGCATTTCTAGTTATACCATGAGTTTGTCACTGTGCTTGAGTTATATAGCGTTTAATGACACCTTTAATTTGCTACACTTAGGAATGAATGCCTTCATAAAAGTATAGCCAAGATAAAATTCTATGAATACACTAAATGCTTTTTTCTGAGTACTTCCTCTTGTGGGAGATTGTGGATGAAGCCAGAAGTTGGGAGGACCAAGCTAATTTGGCTATCGCAAGGGAGATCTTTTCTCACTAGAAGGAAGAAAGTTAAATGGCTAAAATAAAATTGGTTATAATTATTATAAGTAGTTAGAACATTTACACACCCATGCTTATATGCACACACACAAACATAAATCTTCTCTCTCTTTTGTTGTTGATAAGATTGCCTTTATCTTTTACCCTCCTGATCAAAAAGTGGTAAGGGCTACTGAGAAATCTGAGGCATCTTACAGACACATCTGTTTGTTAATGGCACCATCAGAGGACATATGTGATGCCTCTCCTATTCTTTCTAGACAGTGCCACATGCAGGCAGGCACTTATAATGTTACCATTTAATAAATACCATGTGGTCATTTGCAACCAATGTGAGAAATTTCCCTCAGAGCTTTTTAAACCATGATATCAAAAGGCATTCAGGGCCAAGTGAAGTGAATGTCTGCCTCTCGCTTGCCGGGAAGTTACTTTCCTGTATATTTCACAATCCTTTCTCCTGCTTGGCGTGATTGTGGATGCTAGGGAGTAATGTTTGTGGCCCACACAGGTCACTGAGATCTCTGCTCAGGGGAAGATCACTCAGAAGACGGGCATGATGAAAGCTGTCATATCTAGTGCCCAGCACTGCTGGTAGTAGCCAGCTGTACTTCTGGGTCCTGAAACTTGTTACTCCCAAGATTAAGTGACAGCCAATTAAATACACAAAAATTCCTGCTAGATAGGATAATAGGTGCATTTTTGTTAAATAGGTAACAAGAGAATAGCTACCATTTATTAAGAGCTTATTTTGAGCTAGGAGTAGGTGGCCTAATCTCGTTTAATTATTACAGCCATTATCATTCCTATGGTATTGATGAGAAACCCAGAGTTTAGAGAGGTTAAATTACAGGTGCACTGTGGCCAGGATTCCAGTCCAGGTGGTCCTACTCTAGAGCCCATGCCCATTCTCACCTCACCAGACAGCCTAACTGGGTGCCTGTTCCGGCTTCTTTTTAGATATGTAACCCTTACACTGGACCTTTTTTTTTTTTTTTTAAATGCCAGTAAATCATATTCTCTCTCTTTTTAACATTTCAGCAAACCAAGGAGGTCAAGGAGGGAGGACATAGGCTAAAAATATTCTAAAATAAACCTAAGGTATAACATGAAATTACATAACTAAGAACTGGAATGTTTTGGTTACTGGGTGGTACTCTGTTCTTGGAACGATTTTCTATGTCTATTTTTTTCGTTGTTTTTTTTTTTTTTAATCAGCTGCCGAAAATACCACAGATAACTCTGGTATTATATATACATGAGCTGTGAACCTGAGGTGTTTTATCCTTTCCTTTGTTTTATTTTAACACTACTACCTTTTTCTTCTTCTTCTTTTTTTTTTTTTTTACAATTCTCATGACAGCTTTGACAGATATAAATGAATTTTTCTTTTTAAGACTAAATTCTGTATTCTCCTCAGACCTCTTTATACTTACTGATTGGGAAATGTAAGGAGTCAAATGACACTTCTACAAGCTAGTTTTCAGTTTTACAAACTCCTTTTTCAGTTTCGCCTTCATATCTATTATTTTGCTGACTTCTCATAACAGTCCATAAAAGCAGATAGGTTGAATAAGAAACCAAAAGCATAGGCAACAAAAACTAAAATAAGCAAGTGGGACTACTTAAACTAACGTGCTTCTGCACAGCAAGGAACAATAAGTTGAAAGGCAGCCTATAGGTTGGGAGAAAATATTTGTAAACAATGTGTCTGAAAAGGGGTTAATAATATCCAAAATGGTATAAAGAGCTCATACAAGTCAATAGCAAAGAAGCAAATAATCCAATTTAGAAACAGGCAAAAAGCAAGAAAAAAAAATTTTTTTTTCTATGTATGGTGATGGATGTTAACTAGACTTATTATGGTGATCATTTTGCAGTATAGACAAATATCAAATCATTCTGTTGTACACCATAACTAATATGTTATATGTCAATTATAGCTCAATTTTTAAAAAACACATTAGGCAGAAGTAGCTAAACACAATTTTAGAAATTATTTTTGGAAAATTCCTAATAATTTCCAGATAGAGGATACTAGAAGTATCCACTGTAATTTTCAGAGCTACATGATTTAACCACAGACTGATTGTATTTTTAAGCTGTAAATCATTATTTGTACTTAGAAACCCAGTGTCATCTGAAACAGGTGAAGTTTTGAAAGCTTCACTATCTACCAAACCCTAGTAGTTTTCAAAAAGCATTTGAAAGGCTAATCATGAGTAACAGATCTACCAAGGTAGCTAATCCTCATTATAATGTCATTATTAAACTATATAAAATCACCAAAGTACAATAAAAAGACATATGTATGAATTTTATAATCTCTACTCTCTCTAAATCTCTTATAGTAGTTTCTAATCAGTAGTAGAGTGTATAATTTATATATATAAATATATAAATTTATAATTTATAAATATTTAACATACAATTGCTTTTTGGTTCTTTGGCCCTTAGTTAACCTAATAATAGCATATCCCGAACAGGCACACTGTTTCTCTCTCTCTCTCTCAAATAAATAAAGTCTTTAAAAAAAAAAGAAAGAAAGAATAAAATCTTGCTATTTGAGACAACATGGATGGACCTTTAGGTCTTTATGCTAAGCGAGATAAGTCAGAGAAAGACAAATACTGTATGATATCACTTGTATGCAGAATACAAAAATGCCAAACGCATAAAAATAGAGTAGAATAGTGGCTAGCAGGGGCTGGGCTAATTGGGGAGATGTATTTAAGGGTACAGACTTGAAACTAGTAGATAAATAAGGTCTGGAGACCTATCACAGCACAGTGATTATAGTCAGCAATACTGTGTAATAAACTTCAGAGTTGCTAAGAGAGTAAGTCTTAATTGGTCTCACCACAAAAAAGAAATGGTAAATATGTGACGTAATAGAGGTGTTAGCTTAAAGTGATAATCTATTGCAATATATAAATGTATCAAATCAGTATGCCGTATACCTTTTTTTTTTTTTTTAAGATTTTACTTACTTATTTGAGAGAGAGAGAGCACGAGCCAGGGGGAGGGGCAGAGGGAGACAGAGAAGCAGACTCCCTGCTGAGCAGGGGGCCCGATGTGGGGCTCGATCCCAGGACTCTGGGATCATGACCTGAGCCTAAGGCAGACATTTAACTGACTGAGCCACCCAGGCGCCCCAGTATGCCTTATACCTTAAACTTATATGGTGTTATACATCAATTAGGTCTCAAAATATTAACAAGACAAAACACAAAAAGTAGATAATTACTATTCTCATTTAACAAGTAAGACAACTGAGAGATAAGAGCTTGATGTGTCCATGCAATGTATACAAATATATTTTGTATGTATTGAGTCACACAGCTAGGACTATGAGTTCCCAGAAGGCAGAAACCTCCCTAATCATCTTTTTAACCAGTGTCTAAAACAGTGTCTAGCATGGAGAAACAGTAAATATTGCTGAGTGAATGACTACAACTCACATATGGGACTTCTGACATCCAATCCAGTCTCTCAAGTGGACTATACCATGCTTTTGTTTATTAAACACTAATTTGTTGAGTACCTACAAGGTGAGAAACATTGGTTAACTTCTCACTCGGTAGTTCCTGAGCCCAGTAAGATGCATAGCCTTGTGCTGGGCATTTCTGATGCTGGGTGGAAACTCCTTAAGGGTGGGACCTTGATAGTGAAGCTGCTGTCAGTCCACCTGGTAGACTGCATAAGGAGGCATTTAACCCTCTCGATTAAAGATGACTTGAAAATTGATTCTGGGAAGAGTTTTTAAAGCAAATGAGGAAAACCTGGGAGGAGAGACTTCTGAGAAAATGCTTCCTAAAAAGGACAGAAAAAGAAGGCTTTTTCCTCATTCTCCACTGGATAGCAGGCCAAGGATAGCTGTGCAGTTGAAGAGTTTGGGCTCCTATCTTGGTGCCAGTGGCAAACATCTAAAAAAAAATCTGAGGTTGAGGCTAAGAAAATAGTATTTTAAAATAAGTTATTAATAAAACGCTTAAGAGGAAAACAGCAACCACTACCAGATTATGGGTCTTTACCACAAGAACCACCAATAATGGTTTAGAGAGCAACGGAGAGTGAAAAAATGTTAATACCCATACTTTAAAGGGGTGTGGATCTATTTTATTTGGAATTTCCTGTTCTAAATGCAGGGTTACTCTTTCTTAAATAAAAATGCATGTTTTTATCTGAATCAGAAAATTGTATTCTTTGAAACTTAGAAATTCCTTCACAGCAGTTGCTTGTTGCCACTCATTTACAGAATTATGGGTTATTTTAAAATTTTATATCATTTTGGAGTATATAGTTAAATTTCAATTTTCAGATTTAACAAAGCAAAACTCATATAAGTGGCACACTTTATTCAGCTTAAAGCAACAAATGTCGAGGTTAGAGCTGACATCTTTTCAAAGTACAGCCTTGCGTAGGTTTTAGAGGAAGAATATATTCACTTAATTTCATATATTCTTAATAATTGTCTACATCAAAGTTTTCCAAAATACAACATTTGAACCATCTGCATTATTTAAAATATGGTTTGCTGGACTCTACCCATCACAATCTATGGTGATAGGGCTTAAGAATCTTCATTTAAAACAAGTATTTTAAGTGAGTCTTTTTGCACATTGAAGTTTGAGAACCACTGGTCTAGATTAAGAGACCTTGTATTATTTTCTCAGTTATCAGAAGACAATAAAATTATGTTTAGAATACCCTTCTTTCTGAGGCAGAAAATGGATTAATGCAACTCTAAGAATGAAAGCAAAATGGCTTTCTTTTTAACCAATATAATCATTAAATTAATAGTTTATTCACTAAGTATTCCGGGTAATTGAGATATACCATATGTAGAAATGTAAAATGTTGACTAACCTAAAAAATTAGTTTGCGGTGAACCAGCTGAGAACAGTGATAAAAGCTTCTTTGAGAGTACTCACAACAGCAGCAAGAGGGACAGCCAACTTTGGTAACATTTTTGAAGTTTCCCTATTTCTAAGATGGAGTAAAGAAGAAATATATATTGAAACACTGCGGTGCTGTTCCCCGCATTTTGTTAACTTGGCTGCATTACCGAAAGACTGTGCTGTTTGCTGCTTCCTCGCATGGTGCTAAGTGCTCTTAGGTGTTTATTATTTAAATCCTGCATTTGGTGCCCAAAGTATCTTATAAGATGGAAAGTGTCAACACAGTATCTCTCATAGTTCTGTGTCTCTTTGCTAAGCATTTTGGATTTGACAAAAACTTTCCCTTCTCTACAGGGCAGAGATGTAACATTGACATTGATGAGTGTGCCTCCAATCCCTGTCGCAAGGGTGCAACGTGCATCAACGATGTGAATGGTTTCCGCTGTCTGTGCCCCGAGGGTCCCCATCACCCCAGCTGCTACTCACAGGTGAACGAGTGCCTGAGCAGTCCCTGCATCCACGGAAACTGTACCGGGGGCCTCAGTGGGTGAGTAGCTGCCATGTATGAATAGTTCCTTCTTGACTTGCAGCAAGCCAGTTGGGTTTCAGTACAGGCCATGCCCTGTGGAAGTCATTCAGGGGCTTGAGCTGAGTCTGGGTTACAGATTTTGGTAGTCTCCTTTAGTCTTCCAAACCACCACTTCTGCTCTACCTTCCATGACTGAATAGGTAGAAAATAGGGGGGTAGCAGCTCATGGGAGAAGTCCAGGATTATTTTGTGAGTCTTTGGCAATTGTGCTTTTAGAAATTATTGCAAGATTGAGTTTTGACGAAGGTTCTATTTGATCTTTCCCCCTGCTTAAAAAAAGCTCAGTTCTGTTCTATCATGGTACCAGTGTGTGCCACTGAAGTGGAGTTGGTCTCAGCTAACTTTAGACATGGCCCTGATAAAACATTCATGGTTTGTAAGCCCCTGAGAATTGTGTGATATGTTGATAGTACTTCTCTGGAAACTCAGAGTGTGATGTTAGGTCACACAAAATAGTCCTGTACTCTTGCTGTGCTTGCCAGAAGGTAGGGCTGTAGGCATTGCCATTTGCCATACTTACAACAAGTGAAAGAATGAAGAGTGTATTTAGGGAGAAATCAAGTAATTTTTCCAAATGAATTACCTCGGTATTCCTGTTTCAGAGTATGGCAGCCTGCAAAGTATCCCAGCCCATCTACCTTTTTCCTAAGGATCTCCAGACAAGAGAGCTTTTATTTCCTGATACCATACTCTAAGTGTTAATGATGTTCAAACTGTGAACAATGTACATGTATTTCAGACACCTTCATTCTTGTTCCTTTTCCTGCTCAGTTTACTCTACATGCTTTCTGGGGCAGGGTTTTAGGAGAGAACAAAGTATGTCTCATAAGTCAGACATCCCAGGAGTTCTTAGAGTGGCTTAGAGTCTCTGATACGAACATATTTCTTGGGTGTCTGTTTTGCATCAGAAGCAAATGATCCTAAGGTTTGCTTCACTTTAGTTTTATGTATAATAAAAGGCAGATTTAATGTGCCTTTCAGATTGGCCCAATATGTTTACCAACCACTGGTTACATATGAAAGCTCACTATAATTAATTAAGTTCTCTAGCATCTTGGTGAGCTGGGAAGCACCAGAAAAATCGGTTTACTAAGTACTCCAGAAAGGACCCACACAATTCACATTGTGTCCACAGCGATCCAAGTATAGATTCCTAGAAGAGTAGAAATGTGATTAGCTTACCCATGAGCTCCTCTGTCCCTCATTTCTTCACCAAGTCGTATATTTCACCTAAGACTCAATTGTACACTCATCCCCCCACAGTAAAGAATGCTCTATCCTTTCAGATACAAGTGCCTCTGTGATGCAGGCTGGGTGGGCCTCAACTGCGAAGTGGACAGAGATGAATGTCTCTCTAACCCATGCCAGAATGGAGGAACTTGTGACAATCTGGTGAATGGATATAGGTGTACTTGCAAGAAGGGCTTTAAAGGTGAAAACAAAAGTGCATATTTCTATCTCCCTTTATGCCTTTTTCTTATTGCATGTTCTTTTACTTCTTCCTTTCCCTTCCTTTGTTCCTATTCACTCTTATAGCAAACATAATTTGAGAACTTAGTATTTATAAGAACTTAATATTTTTACACTTGGGGAATAAAAACATAAAGAGATATAGATTCTATTAGCAGAGAGGTGAGCTACGGAACTATTTAAGGTGAGCACCTAGGATGCTATAGGATGGGAGAAAATATTTGTAAACAGTGTGTTTGAAAAGGGGTTAATAATATCCAAAATGGTATAAAGAGCTCATACAAGTCAATAGCAAAGAAGCAAATAAGCCAATTTAAAAACAGGCAAACCACTTACACAACTCTGGGCAGGTGTTCTAATTGTAAGCTCCCTGGTGCCGGTTTGATTCTACGGTAATTCAAAAGAGATTTGGGGAGTAGAATGAGAATATTGTCTCACTGTAATTATGATAGCAATCATGCCATGGAAGAATCCATGTGTTCCAAACCCTTCCAACAAATTATCTTACACATTGAGATAACCTAAATATATAGTCTACCTATGGCCTTCTGGAAAAATGTATTATAGTGGGTGTTGTGTAAATCATTTTTTAGTTGCCATTGTTGTATTTCCACCATCCAAGTTTTCTCTTAGAAACTCAAGAGTTGGGCGCCTGGGTGGCTCAGTCGATTAAGCGACTGCCTTCGGCTCAGGTCATGATCCTGGAGTCCCGGGATCGAGTCCCGCATTGGGCTCCCTGCTCGGCAGGGAGTCTGCTTCTCCCTCTGACCCTCCCCCCTCTCATGTGCTCTCTTTTTCTCATTCTCTCTCTGTCAAATAATAAATAAAATCTTTAAAAAAAAAAAAAAAAGAAACTCAAGAGTGAAATCTGTGGGTAAATCATTTATTTTGCACTCCTCCATCCACTTAGTGATTGATTTCCCCACTCAAAAATTGTGCCAGGCTACCATGATACATCAGTATGTTTCAGGGTCAATTTATTTGATTATTTGAAAATTTTCTGCGACTATACTTTAGTCATTAATTTTCTGATATATTACATTTGCAAAGAAATTTAAAAGTGCTTTTATTTCTTTGTCTCATTGAGACTTGCTGATCAACGAACAAAATAAAAATCAAAATGTAAAATCCAAAAGTGCATGACTGGTGAGTAGCAGAGTACAGTTTGAACCCAGACCTCTGTACTCCCAGACCACCATTTTTTTATCTACAGTGCATGCAGTTCCTCTATGTTGAGGCTCTGTGTCAGCCCTGTTGAAGATGCAGAGGTGTGTAATATTTGGGTACTGTCCTATCCCATTAATGCTTCCTTACTTTCCTCTTTTTCATAGAGGGAATAGATTCCATGTCTTGGATCAGGGGAAAACAGTTTTATGACTTCAGGAAGTACTACTACATCAATGGTAGAGACTGTGCATATGAAAGAGTAGGCATAAACCAGAGGCTTTGATTAATGTATTAAAAAAATATTATCCTTTGAGGCACTTGGATGGCTCAGTCGAATGAGCAGCCAACTGTTGATTTCAGCTCAGGTCATGATCTCAGGGTCCTGGGATTGAGCCCTGCATTGGGGCTTCACACTCAGCAGGAAGTCTGCTTGAGATTCTCTACCTCTGCCCCTCCCCCTGCTCATGCTCTCTCTCCCTCTCTCTCTCTCAAATAAATGAATAAATCTTAAAAAAAAATATTATCCCTTGATAAATTATACCCCTTTTTAGGCCCTCACCAACTACTTTGTATAGAAAGAGGTGATATTTAGATACAGCAGCAGAGTTTTCTTCTTGGTCCATTGTTGAGGAATTACTTGTATTTGGAGGTGCATTCAACCTTTAGACTATTAGAATATACTTCTTTTCTTTTTTTTTTTTTTTTAAGATTTTATTTATTTGACAGAGAGAGACACAGCGAGAGAGGGAACAGAAGCAGGGGGAGTGGGAGAGGGAGAAGCAGGCTTCCTGCCTAGCAGGGAGCCCGATGTGGGACTCGATCCCAGGACCCTGGGATCATGACCTGAGCCGAAGACACTTAATGACTGAGCCACCCAGGCACCCTAGAATATACTTCTTCCATTCATCTTTTTGACTGCGTTTTACTGACTGACTGTATGTATGTCAGGGACTTGCCACTGAAATGAAAGAACAGGTGTTCCAGTGGCCTAAAGAAATTCAATTTCTAGAGCAGTTAATATTTCCCAGGAGGGGTCCTGGGATCGAGCCCCGCATCGGGCTCCCTGCTCAGTGGGGAGCCTGCTTCTCCCTCTCCCTCTGCCCCTTCTCCCCCAACTCGTGCTCCCCCCCAAGTAAATAAATAAAATCTTAAAATATATATTTACCATGAAGAGGTTTGCTTAGCAATTTAGATGAGGAAGCTAACAGAAAGTTTCACTGTTTTGGGGTTTTCCCCTTTTCTGTCTACAGGCTATAACTGTCAGGTGAATATTGATGAGTGTGCTTCAAATCCGTGTCTGAACCAAGGAACCTGCTTTGATGACATAAGTGGCTATACTTGCCACTGTGTGCTGCCATACACAGGTGAGTTCTGCAGGTGAAAGGACCAGAGGGAATGTGTGTTCTTGCCTTGTAGTTCTAAACCCCAGAGTCTCAGAGACAGGTTCTGTGGGTCAGTGATGCTGCTCTGAGGAATCACTCCCTGGTCACCCATCCTGCCCTCACTGATTAGATCTTGAGCTCTGAGAAAACACTGTGACCTCTCTAGATGCAACTGGTAGGGGAACTCATTTGCCTTCCTTATACTTTGGGGTTTAAAATGTTTTTAAAATGATGTATGGCTGCTGGTTTCATTCATTATTTGAGTGGACCCAGTGTTGTCATGGCCTGTGTTCTTAGTCTTAGTTCAATAATACAACAACCACCACTTACTGATAATTTACTATATGCCAGACACTTTGTATACTTTGGATTCCTAATCTAGTACTCACAATAATTCTGTAAAGTAGAAGTTCCTATGACCATTTTATGCTGAGGCAGAGAGAAGTTACCTGCTGAAGGTCACATAGGTAAGTGGTAGATTTGCCCCCAAGTCCCTCTCAGTCCAAAGCTCTTCCTCTTAACAGCCCTTCTTCTCCTTACATTCAGTACCACTACGTCTCATTCAGAGAGGTATTGCCCGTTGGATGGCGATTACACACACAGAAGACATGGGTGTGACTTCAGTTCGTACCAAGTGTTTTTTGCTTCAGGTGGTATTTTAGGAGTGTGCTTGGACATTTATTTCTTCTTTGCATTTTCCTGCCTCATTACTGCTGTCTTGTGATTGTTTTGTGTGGTTGTATTTGTATGGCTTGTTTACCTCCTCATCATCCATTTTCTTCATCTGTGGAGAACAAAACAGAAATATGGATGATGGCTTTGCATGTTTCTCCAGTATGCAGCATGCAGGCAGGAGCATGGCTGAGTTCCTCCTCCCCTGTTAGGCTGTTATTAGTAGCTGTTACTAGTGACTCTAGCTGTTGAGAGTGGCAGTGGCCAAAACCGTAACTCTGTTACCTGAAAGACTTGGTGCTACATTGTTACCTTTGCCCCTCTTTGGAAGAAATGTTCATGGAGGCAAACTGCATTTAGCCAGCCTCGTAGATAAAATTGAAGTTATTGGAGATCCCTAGCTATCCCCAGACAAAGGAAGCCTAAAAAATACATTTCATCATGACAGTGCTGATCACATTTGTTGATAGTAAGAGGAGCATCTCATAGCCAGAAAGACAGAGACTTGATGGCTGCAGGGAGATACAAGCAGGTGTCACTATGCTCAGTTATATCATAGGCTTACCTGAGTGTGATGTAGGTGTGAAAATATTTATTTTGTCTTCTTGCTAGTCAGATACTGTAAGAATATTTGGCTCTATGTTGGTTATTGGTTTTTCTTCAGATTAAGATCCCAATAAGGAATTTACTGTATATGAACTTTGGGAAATTATATTAGACTGAAAGCCTATGTAGATTAAAATTTCAGTGCTGAGTGTAGATAAGGGTTCTGTCATTGGGCTTTGCCAGCACGAAGGGAACTAAACAACATTGCCTTCTCTTGCGAGCCACTATTCTGACCAGATACTTTAAAAACTGGTTGGGTATGTTGGTAAAAATTTGTGGTAATTTTTTTTCTTTCTGAATATGAAATTTTAGGATAGTATTTTAAGTTGAGTTAGTTGTAACTTGACTTTAAAAAAACTCTTTTTCTTTTAATAAAAGTATTCCTTTTTTTTTTTTTCTGTGCTGTAAGCTTATATTCAGTATGCTAAGGGAGGAAATATTGGTATGCAAATATTAATGTCATGTTGCTGATGTTGGTATAAGGAGACATGTTACCAGGCAATCAGAATTACCTCACTGTTTCCTGCTTCCCGTGGCCTTCTGATCAACTCCATTGCCTTCTGGGACAGGCTAGCAGAGGTTGTGAGGAGTAGGAGGCTGTGTTGTTGCTTCTTCCTGGCTCACATGGAGGAGGATCTGTGTGGCTGAGCTTCTGAGTGGCTGACTCTTAGCTGTGGAGATGCAGAAACTATCGCACTGGGCTGATGCAGGTGTCCAAATCCATGATAGTAACTACCCATAATAATAAAGACAAGAGCAGCCCAACGGTTGTTGAGCACTCACTCTATGTGCCATGCTCTATACTAATAAAGACTTTGTTAACATTTTTTCATTTAGTCCTCAAAAGGCCTCTATGGGTTATGTACCATCCTAGTTCTCATTTTGCTTATGTGGAAGGCTCAGAGCAGATAAATAACTTGAGGTCACATAGTTAGTAATCAAGGTGGATAAGCCTCAAAGGACCTAGGTCTCTCAGATTCCAAAGTTTTTAACTGCTGCTTTAGACTTGAGTTCAGAGAGCATCCGTTGGTATAGAATTTGAAAAATTTGTCTCCTTGGCTGTTTCTCTAAATTCTGTCATTTGCTTTACAGGCAAGAATTGTCAGACGGTGTTGGCTCCCTGTTCCCCAAACCCATGTGAGAATGCTGCTGTTTGCAAAGAGGCACCAAATTTTGAGAGTTACACCTGCCTGTGTGCCCCTGGCTGGCAAGGTAGCAACATAGGAGTTAGAGAAACCAGGAGTTTTAAACGAAGTAGTCAGATCATCCGATTAACATGGAAGGCCCAGGTCTTCTGAGGCCTGCCCATCATCAAGAACACCGGCCTTGTATAGGACCTGCTAACTGGCATGACTTAGAAAGCCTTTTTCATTTTCATATCTTTGGGGCCCCCTAGTGGCTGGAAGAGTCCAGCCTGAGTCTAAAACCATGATGTTCTTTCTAAAGGAGTTTTACCACCTGGGCAAAACTTGCCCAAAATAATTTTGTGCGAGGGACACAAAGCCTTACAGGACTTCCCAAAGCAGGACACCAACCAGAATATCCCCATCTACTGAAGCTGCAGCTCAGATCCCCCATACATTTCTGTGGGACTCACCTTCCAAAGACAGGAGCATTCATTGCACCTGTATTTCTAGGTCAACGGTGTACAATTGACATTGATGAGTGTGTCTCCAAGCCCTGCATGAACCACGGTCTCTGCCATAATACCCAGGGCAGCTACATGTGCGAGTGTCCTCCAGGCTTCAGTGGTATGGACTGTGAGGAGGACATGGATGACTGCCTTGCCAGTGAGTATGTTGGTAAAAATTATGCCAGTGAGTATGCCAGCCAGCTTGTAAGCCCCCTGAGGCACACAGGAAGCAGAGCAGAGCCCCATCGGGGCAGTGGCCTCTCAGTGCTGAGACTGGCCATCCCAAGAGTTTATCACGTGTCTTTAACATGAGAGTTTTTATTTTTATTTTATTTTTATTTATTTATTTATTTTAGATTTTTATTTATTTTCTTGACAGAGAGAGACACAGTGA